CCGACTTGGGAAGGCGATCACAAGAGTTTAAAGTCGACGATTTGGTATTGGTGAAGCTCCAACCAGCATCACTCCAATTCTTTAGGAACAAAGTACACAAAGGATTGGTGCATAAGTATGAAGGGCCCTTTCCAATTATCAGTAAGGTGGGCAACGTCTCCTACAGGTTGCAGCTACCGGCGTGGCTTAAAATTCACAACGATTTTCACGCCAGCAACTTGAAAGCCTACCACTCAGATCCGCAAGATGCTTCCCGAAGTGTTCCAACTCAACTACCCCCTACCAGAGCCTCCTACGAGAAACGAGTTGAAACCATTCTAGCGGATCGCAAGATAAAGCTATCCAATGGAGCTGAGCAGACCGAGCACTTGGTGAAGTGGCGAAAGCTTCCCCGAACTGAAGCCAGTTGGGAGCTCGAAGACGCCCTACGACATGAAGAAGTAATCATCAACAACTATCAACAAGCATCGACGAGGGCGTCGGCAGTTTAAGTGGGGGAGAATGTCACGAATGATCGTCACGCACTCGCAATAACTTCGTTCAACAAACCGTTCGTTGGTTTTGCATGCTTGAACAGAGACATGGCAATTTGTTTTGCCTTGGTTGTGTGTTTTTACTTGTAAAAATACATGTTCGAACAGGTTGCAGCGCACAGTGCGACTGCTCACTGCGCCGGGCCAAAAGCCCCAAAATGGCTCCGTTTTCACGTGCCGCAGGCTGTTTTCTGCAGCCCGCTGCAACGCGCGAAATGTCAACCATCCCAGCACCTTGGAACCCCCCGGGTGGTGCAAGGCTAGATGGGGCTTCGGTATATAGTCGGGCGTTGAACAATCTTCACAAGTTCGCACGTTTTCTTGACGGGAACTTGTCTTCGCGCCCGGCACCTGGTCAGCAATTGTTTGTGAACTTGCAACTGTTCGTTCTACCTTCTAAAGTCCTTGTTTTCCTCCTCTTTTCTCCTGTGCACACAAGGTGCTTGCTGAATTGCTTGTAAAGCTTCCCTCTTCACGAGACGTCGAGACTTGTCCGTCGCTCGTTTTCAATCTAATCAACTTTCTGTTTTACAAGTCCTTCGGGACCTGTACGAGGTTGCAACTAGGCTGAACCTTTGCGGACACATATGTCGTAAGGGTGCCTCAAGACTTAGGCAATCCCAGCTAAGTCCGAGAAGTTGGCGCAAGGGTGCGTCACGACTTAGGCAACTCAAGCTAAGTTCACGTCTTTGTCGCAAGGGTGCCTCATGCCTTAGGCAATTCTAGCTAAGGTCGTGACAAAATGCCCGATGCACCCTCATGAGCAGAAGCATCTCAAACACCAGATTCACCCCTTAAGGCTAAAGCATCCTAAGTGTCTAATATGTCCTTCATGAGCAAAAGCGTCCCAAGCGACCGATGGACCCAATGCACCCTCATCGACAGAAGCATCCCAAACATCTGATGCACCCCTCATGGACAGAAGTATCTCAAGCGCCCCATGCACCCCTTGTTGACAGAAGCATTTCAAGCACCCGATGTGCCCCTCGTGGCCAGAAGCATACCAAATGCCCGACGTACAATCGTGAGAAGAAGCATCTCAAGCACCCGATGCACCCCTCGTGGGTAGAAATATCCTAAGCATATTATACACTCTTTGTGAGCAAAATCATCTCAACCTCTTGATACACACCCTTCATGAGCAGAAGCATCCCAAGCGCCCGATATGCTAGCATAGGCAAAAGCATTCGAAACACCCGATGTGCCCTCGTAGACAGAAGCATCACAAGCACTCGATGCACCCTCACTAGCAGAAGCATCTCAAGTGTTATATGTGCCCCTTGTGGGTAGAAATATCTCAAGCACCTGATGTGCCCTTATGGGCAGAAACATCTCAAACACTCGATGTGTCCCTCATGAGTAGAAGCATCTCAAGCACTCAATAAACCCCTTTTGGACAAAAGCATCTCAAGCGCCCAATGTGTCGTTCACGAGCAAAAGTTTACCAAGCTCCTGATGCACCCTTCACGGACATAAGCATCACCAATGCACGTGTCTTTCGCAAACATAAGCATCTACAACATCTAATGTGTCCTTCGCAAACATAAGCATCACTAATGCACAATGTGCCCATCACGAGCATGAGCATCTTAAACATCTAATGCATCATCGAGCTAATGAAGACCCCCCAAAACCCGATGTGGGTAGGTCGACCAAACTAAAGACTTCTTTACATAATGTCTTTCACTGACATAAGCATCTAAAGCATCTAATGTGTCTTTCATAGGCAAAAGCATCCCAAGCGCCCGATGCACCCTCATCGACAGAAGCATCTCAAGCGCCTCATGCACCACTCATGGACAAAAGCATTTCAAGCACTCAACGCACCCCTCATAGCCAGAAGCATCTCAAACGCTTGATGTGCCCTCATGAGAAGAAGCATCTCAAGCATCCGATGTATCCCTCATGGGCAAAAGCATCCCAAGCATCTTATACACTCTTTGTGAGCAAAATCATCCAAACCTCCTGATGCACCCTTCATGGGCAAAAGTATCCCAAGCGCCCGATATGCCCTCGTAGGTAAAAGCATCCCAAGCACCGAATGTGCCCTCATGGATAGAAGCATCCCAAGCACTCAATGCACCTGCATGAGCAGAAGCATCCCAAGCATTATATGTGCCCCTGTGGGCAGAAGCATCTTAAGCGCCCAATGCATCCCTCGTAGGCAGAAGTATCTCAAGCACCCGATGTATCCCTCGTGAACAGAAGCATGCCAAACATCTGATGCACCTACGTGGGTAGAAGCATCTCAAGCACTCAATGCACCTCTTTGGGGCAGAAGAATCTCAAGCGCCCAATGTGTCGTTCACAAGCAGAAGCTTACCAATTTCCTAATGCACCCTTCACGAGCTTATCACCAGTGCATAATGTATCTTCCATAGACATAAGCATCTACAACATCTAATGTGTTCTTCGCGGACAAAAGCATCACCAATGCACGATGTGCCCATCACGAACATGTGCATCTTAAACATTTGATGCATCATCAAGCTATGAAGACTACCCCAAAACCCGATGTGGGTAGGCCAACCATCTTTAGAGTCCCTACCCGATGTGGGTAGGTCTGCAACTTCGTAGGAGCCCTACCCAATGTATGTAGGTCTACAGCTTAGGAGGAACCCTATCTAATGTGGATAGGTCAACAACTTTAGAGGACCTCTACCCAACGTGGGTAGGTCAAGTGCTTCAAAGGACACCTACCCCGTGTGGGTAGGTCAATCAAGAGGGAGGAATCCCCACTCTCTGGGGGTATGTCAACCATGCTTAAGGTTCCCTCAGCCCAATGCATGTAGGTCAAACTATCTTGAAGATACTCGATGTGGGTAGGTCGGCCACCTTGGAAGCCTTCCCTACCCGATGTGGGTAGGTCGGGCAACTCTAAAGACCCACCTACCTGAAGTGGGTAAGTCGGTTAGGCTCAGAAGCTCCACTACCTGATGTACGCAGATTAGTAGCTTCCACAAATCCTCTTGCCCGATGTGGGCAGATCGGACTTCCAAGAGTCCTCTTGCCCAATATGGGTAGATCGACACAACACAGAAGTCATCTCGCCTGATGTGGGCAAGTCGGCCAGCTCAACGAGATTTCTTTCTCAACATGGGCAAGTCAGCAAGCCTGGGAAGCCACCTTGTCCAATGTGGATAGGTCAACATTCAGAAGACCCTTTCTCTAATGCGATCAGGATTAGAGGGATTCACTACCTGATGTGGGTAGTTTTGCTAGGGATTCCCCACCAAATGTGGATAAGTCAGTCAGGGCAACAAGACTCACAGCAAACAAGGACAAGTCTGGACTGTGAAAGAATCAACTCCAGCAAAGATGACAACACGGGGACCATGACCAACTTGCTCTCCCAAAGGTGTTTGGTGTCCAAAAGCAAACATCATGCTCCATTGTGAAAATTTTCTTTGCTGAAGCACAATAGGAAACAAATGATAGAGGATAAAGTGTCCTTTCAAAGCCACCTTAGTGGACAATTGCACCATCTAACTACCCAAAGAGGCAATTACACCATCTCAGCAGATGAGAACACCACCATGGCAGGTAGTTACACAATTACCTTGGCAAATAGTTAGGCAATTTCAGTAGGCAGCCATGCCACTTCACTGCCATTTGCCACCTCATCCACCATCTCCGTGCCCCCTTAGCAATTGCCCTATCCACCTTAACCACTGATAGCTACAGACCCTCAGGTTTAAATAGCCACTCTCATTCTCTCCTCTCTTCCACATCCCACATTCTTCCACACTTTGGAGAATGCTTACTTGAATGTTGGAGGGACTGTGTCGAGCTTCCCCGACACCGATCTTCTTGTAGGATCCCAGATGGTGTTCGGGAGCAACAAATACAACATCAGCATTCGAATCCTTCTCAATAGAGTTCTCACCGACAACCTCAAAACTTCCCAAGTCAATTGACCCACTCCAACCTCGGGCTCGAACCTGATCTTGTTGCTCCATCGTCACTAGTAAGTTATAACATGATAGAACATTTTTAATCCTACCAGTAAATAGTACTTTAATCCTACCAGTAATTAATACTATTGCAAGACATTGTTCTTCCATAACCCTTAGTTTTTTAGGTGAAAAAGTTCTACATTCAAAAGTATTTTTGTCACAAAAGATTAAACCACATTGAAGCAAGATAAATGATTGAGATGGCACAATAAACTAATCAGTATCAGCAGGTCATCACAAATATGCAACAAATCAATTACAATCATTCATTCCTTTTGTTTTTATGAAAAAACAAAGATCACCAAGCACAAAATATTTTCTGATGTGACAAATGCTTGATATTTATCAGAAAATCCCAACAGACTAGTACCTCCGTGATGTAATAGGACATAGATGCGAGTACAAAATGCTGACATCACATTACCAAAACAGCATGAACAAATATGGGGAAAGCATATCATGTTGATAAAAAATTAATTGAAATTCTTGACATGCAGTGTAGAATTAATACCATGACAAAGTAGAAGGCAGCTGTCCATATTTGCTACACAAGCACGTGCCAAGGTTTGCTCTGCGTGGAAGTAGTCCTGATCCCACAAATAACATTGAGCACAAACTAATTCAAAGTTAGCAGACCAATTGTTGGAGGAACTTCCTTTCCTGGCTGCACATGCCTGAAAGTTGGTATGTATTATGTCCAAATTATTCTGCAAACTGTATCTAGATTCAAAATATTTTAGTAATATCCAACAAATCGGATGAATGGTCTTCATCTGCAAGCACTTGGTGTACTCATTCCTAAGGTTTGAATAGTCCTCCTGCACTGCATATCCACGGCATAATTGCAAGTGTGCAAAAAACATATCACTATTGGTAGGAAGAAGACCTAATGCATTAGATGCATGATGTATGCATCCAACAGAGTCACCACTCTGCAAACTTATTTCTGATGCACAGAGGAGTAGGAGACTCCGAGACTGAGATAGCTTATTGTCCCCCAGAAACTCTTCTGTAGAGAGAGCATCTAAAACCAACCGTTTTGAAATAATGCAAAGTTGTTGGGGGAAGTTCTCTTCATGAGCTTTCTGGAAAACATTAAGAGCAAGTAAGTAACGAGCATTTTGGTTCCATGGTTCTTGATGCAACCATCTGAAAAAGACAACACAGAATGTACAACCCTGTCATATCTTGCCAGTCCAGAGTAGTTTTGAAAATTACCAAGAAAATATAAAATAATACCTTTGAAGCAAGTGCAAGTGTCTAGCTCCATGCATAAGCCCATCATTGCAGGTAGGGAAAGAAGACTTCGGGTTGGTGGAACAGATGGAACCGCAAGCAACTGCCATAGCACCATGAATTTCATATGGTAGTCTAAATCCTTTCTTGACAGGGTGCCGGTGACCAGTTGGAATGACAGCACACCTGGCTGCTTTCTGAAGAGCCATCCAATCTCCACTAGACAGTAGAAGCAAACCAAGATGGCTTCTGTGACATGCAAAACAAGTACAACGATCACCTTTTAATAGCAAAATGTGCAAACGCATGAAACATAAAAATTTGAACAGCTGATGTTGTTTGTCTAGTTCATAGTGGATGCTTCCTTTACAAAAGATCAGTGATTTAAAAAGCGCTAGGTGTCAAAAGACGCCAAGGTCCAAAAACGCTCAAGACGCTAAGCGCTCGCCCAAGCACTCGCCCGAGCGAAGCGAGGCACTAAAATATAAAAATATATAATATAATTAATAAATATAATTATTTAAAATTTTAAATTAAAATATATTATTAAATTAAGAAAATCTAAGACACAAAATCACAATGTCACATTAACAAAAGGTTTCAAGATTCAAAACAATAAAATTTTATATCAAAGTCATTCGTCATAATCAATATTATCGTCATTTTCACATAAATCATCTTCATTGAATCTTTTTTTTATGCCATTGGAAACTCTATTGAGTTGCTCTATCCACTTGTCATTTATCTTGAAACCTAACAATAATTTCAAATAAATAAAAGTTAACAGTATTAAAATCAAAATAATATATTATTAATCTATTAACAATATTAAAAATTAATAATTTCAAATAATATAGTATACAGTATACTGTTAACAGAAGGAGAAGAAGGAAGTGTAAGGGGGTGCTGAGCCTACTGACTAAGAAAAGAGGAAGCAGCAGCGGCAGCGGAGTGTAAGGAGGCAGCGGCAACGACAGCGGCAGCGGCGAACGGCGACAGCGATAGCGATAGCGGGAGCAGGAGCGGCGAGCAGCGGGAGGCGCGAGCGGCGACAACGGTAGCGTTTGCGAGCAGCGATAGCGGCGAGCAGCGGCAGCGGCAGCGGGAGCGGGAGCGGCGAGCAGCGGGAGGCGGGAGCGATAGCGGCAGCGGGAGCGGCGAGCAGCGGGAGGCGTGAGCGGCGATAGCAGCAACGTTTCCAAGCAACGACAGCGGCGAGCAGCGGGATCAAGATCGGGATCGGGAGCGGTAGCGGCAACGAGGGTTAGGGTTGGGTTGTCACTGATATAGGTTTTAGTTGGCTCGATTGAACCAACTAACCACCGGAGACCGAATCAGGACCGAACCAGACCTAAAATCCTGGTTCGGTCGCCTTGGTTAACCCAGGCACTCGGCTGAAGCGCCCAGCGCCTGGGCTCGGGCGAGCGCCCAGGCCCTCTTTGAAGCGTGTCGCCTGGAAGATTAGCGAGGCGCTCGGGCCTCGCCTCGCCTCGCCCGGGCGCCTAGGCGAGTGCCCAAGCGCCTTTCTAAATCGCTGCAAAAGATATATTATTGTAAATTCACAACAATAAGAGGTACTCCTTTTCCAAACGGAAACATATGGTCAATCTCTCATGCATCAGTTTCAGCCAATACACATGGAAAACTTCATGAAACAACTAGCCACAGAAAGGATATAAATTCTAAAGAAAATGCACCAACTGAAAGTCAATTAAATGCATTAGTTCCTCGATTACGAAGGCAAAGGAAAAATATTAAACTTATTAAATACATTATCTTAACTGAAAGAAAGGCTACAAGAAACAACATGAGGACTTTTTAGTTAACTTGAAAACAAACCAATCCATACCACCCAAGTTCCCACCCTTAAAACTCTGATTTGAAAACAGTAACATCAATTATATAAATTTCATTCATAACTTAATTACGATGAAGAAACCTTCATTTTAATTAAAATAGGAAGGTAACTTTTATGTGATAACAATGTTGTTCCTTTGAGCAAATCACAAACTTTGCAATGATTTCTATGTGACAAATGACAACACTGACATAAAAATACATCAAGTACCAAATTATTTAGGGCAGTTCAAATTCTTAGACTGGATCAAAATGAATCCAAAAATCCTTAATTTGGTCTGCTAGTCTTGTAATTATAGTAGAACCAACTTTTGCATTTTGACACACACACAACAGAGATAGTGAGGTTGTAAGTACAGATTTGTTAAATTATAGGACTAGTAACCTAATTTAGGAAGTTACAAGATACAGGTATATTGAAACAGTCTTACTATACTAATTTATGATCTTGACCATATATTTGAGTCACACATGACAAAATTAGGAGAGAACTTAAAAGGCTTAACAATAGAGTAATCGCCAGAATAGTGTTAGTGCTGTGCTCCATAGATGAGCCTTTATTTATGAACAGGTTTGAATAATGACAAAGACAATTATTAAGAGACTGCCTTTTTTTTTTTTGCAACATTTTAGGCCAACAAAAGAAGAGGTCAGGAAACACATAAATAAAAAATCCTTAAAAATTGTCTCATTTTAAATGCAACTTCTGCTGGTCGCATGCCAAAAGTTCAGTGGCACATGACATGTAGGCAATAGACATTGGATCTACATATGCCATGATGCCATCCAGTCTTGAGCTTAAACATGTGGGCAACATATTGTCACACTAGAAGTAGATGACTCTACTGATTAACTTGTAAGGAAAATTTCTTTCTATTTGAATTGTATCTTTGTTTATCTCATTTTTTGTTAGGACTCTAGCTAGAAGAGTCCTAATTGAGAGGGACATTCATGTAAAACCTACCTAAGTCGACCCCTACTAAAGAGATGAAGAGGCCGGCTAGGGTTAGGAGGTTTTTTCTTAAAGAAGAATTAGGAGTTGTAAGGGAATAGGAGTCTTGAGTAGGAGTCCTATTAGGAGTTGGTTAGAAGTAATAGACTTCAGTAGGAGTCCTATTAGGAGTTAGGGTTTAGAAGCCCTATAAATAGTCATGTATTCCTCCTCTTTTCTTAAGCAATACATGAATCTTTTCTGCAGCCTTTGAACAGCAACTTGGAGGGAGGAACCCCTATAGAGTTCCAAGGAGGTCGATCCCCTAAAGAGATCAACCCCAAATTTAGAATCTGCAAGGGTTCTATCACCTAGTATCAGAGCAGCGTTCTTGGCATCTCGCTGCCCTTCCATAGCCATCCATCAGCCCTCCACAGCCGCCCAAAGCAATTCCCATAATTGCTTAAAAGATCGTCGCCAAATTCCGCCATCATCTCCACCACCGCGGATCATCCCGTGAATTGCAACAGGTTCTGGTTTCCTACCTTACTGCTACTGCAATTTAGTTATCCCTATCCGAAAATCCAAAAAAAAAAAAGTTCCTATATTGCTGCATAAACTTTTCGTCACAAAGTTTTCATCTCTACAACGAAAGATACATTGCAGAATTTCAACCGCATAGCACTGTTTGTTTGATCTTGATACTATATTTTCTCTGTCATATAAACTAAGATATTACTGTCAATTCTCTCCTCAAATCTCTCAAATTTTTTGTGGAGATTTCGTCGAAAAACCGCTGTTTCTTCGACGACAATTCTGCTCTTACAAGACAACACAATTCTGCAACAAACTTTCACTGATTTCTATCAAACCTTTGCTGTTATCCACCATAGATCGAAAACTTTCATCCACAGCCCTAAAACTCCACCAAACCACACCCTCAAACTGCACCCAAAAAAGCCACAAAACAAACCTAAACCGCAGCCTACATCTACCAATCCACCAACCCTTTTAACCATCACTTCTCTCAACCTATACATGCCTTTAACCCGTCAACAAAAGAGAGATATTAACATCACAAATTTGGAGTCATATACTATGGCATCTGAGGAGGCAATCAATGCTAAAATTGAAGCCTTCGAGGCACGAATGGAGGATAAGATTCGGACTCTCCTTACCGAATTCAGTTTGGGCCGACCACCAAGCCCGAAGAAATCACATCAAGGAGAGAGCTCTAACCAATCACATCATGCCCAAAGAGATGACTTCCAAGAGAGGGGAGGCTCTATGACCGACCCCAACTATACGCGCATGAGAGTGGACTTCCCTAGATGGGAAGGAGACCCAATTGGTTGGATCTCGCGCGCGGAGCGATATTTTCGGTACCATAAAACTGCGGATGCATCCATGGTGAAAATTGCAGCTATACATCTTGAAGGGGATGTCATACAGTGGTTTGACTGGTTTGAACACACTTATAGAGTCCTTTCATGGCGACAATTCAGAGAAGGACTGCTGATCCGCTTCGGACCAACTTATTACGAGAACATTGACGGACAACTAGCAAAGACCCGACAAACCTCCACCATTCAGGAGTACCAAACTAGGTTTGAAAGGTTATCTAATCAAACTCGTGATTGGTCTGAAAAATAGCTATTGGGGACCTTTATTGAGGGCTTAAAGCCGGAGATCCGGAGAGAAGTTAAGGCGCGACAACC